CAAATTATACACCTCTAAAGGGATGACTTGTTTTACAATTTCATAGTGATTTGCGCAGAAACGGTCTAGAATAAAAGACGTTATTAGTTTTAGTTTACTTTTTAGGGGTAACCTGAAAAACACCTCCCTTGGTCCCTCTACGACGGAAGTCCCAGGTGATGTTTTTTGGACAGTAGGGACGTGGTGAGACGACTTGATGCGACCCTATCCTTCCTTAATCGCAAGCAGGACCTAAGACACCTTTCCCTACTCCCCAGAACCGCATTTCTTATCTCCCTCACTCCTGACTTTCGTACCTCCACCTCACTTGTCGCAATCGAAGTTTCGTAACCCAGTCTCTCGCAAACAATAAAACGCTAATGTTGGGCTATAAAGGAACTACAGCAAGGTCACATGACTTCACGTCACCACCGCTAAGCTAAAGGTGGCTAATGTTGGGCTATAAAGGAACTACAGCACGGTCACATGACTTCACGTCACCACCGCTAAGCTAAAGGTGGCTAATGTTGGGCTACAAAGGAACTACAGCACGGTCACATGACTTCACGTTACCACCGCTAAGCTAAAGGTGGCTAATGTTGGGCTACAAAGGAACTACAGCACGGTCACATGACTTCACGTCACCACCGCTAAGCTAAAGGTGGCTAATGTTGGGCTACAAAGGAACTACAGCACGGTCACATGACTTCACGTCACCACCGCTAAGCTAAAGGTGGCTAATTATGGGCCTGATGACGTTTAGTCGTCTCATTTAGACACTTGTTAGAAACCACCGTTTTAAATTCACCAATGGGGTATTTGCCGATATATTTTATGTCGTAAAAAACGAAATCTCTTCAGCTTGAGTCAAGCACAGACCTTATTTCAGGGTCCTAACCAAAAACACATTAAAAAACCACTCATTCCTGCACCACTCGATAGTGTTATCACAGATGCAACGTGTTACCCATGTCCTTCAGTGTTCAACAGCATTATGTCTATCTTTCCTCATGAATGTTTTCAGTTAGAATGCAGACAGAGCATTCTTCCTATGTGTTTTCAGGTGATTTAGTAAAAGTGTTTTTCATCTCGAAGGCTGATAACATGAACTCAGTGTGAAGAAGTGTCCGTATGTATAATACATCGACCCTTTGTTCACACAGCAGTGTTCAGTCCTGCTGAAGGTCGGTACATTTATTGAATGGCAGCGCATGATGAAGTTTCAGAGCTGATGGTCATCTTCTATCTCCATGTGTTTGAAAAAAAGAGAAACACTTGAAGCAGCGAGAGAAGTACCTTTTACTTTAGCAAAAACAAACCTAAATACATTAGTATTGGCATCAGATGTATCCAAAGTACCAAAAATATAAGTACATATTGCCCTTGTCGTCTCATTTTAGAATCATAGATATTAAATGACTGGATTATGATTATTGATGCATTAATGCGTTCATCACAGCTGCTAAAGGTGGGGCTAATTTTAATTAATGTATACCCTGCTGATGGATTTCTTAACCTATAATTATATACAGTAGGGGACATTAACTAAGTATATTTACTAAAGTAGTTGTTTTTAAATCGACCGGACTTCTTTCTGCGGATTGATATGACTGCACATAGTCCCCTTGATCCTCCTTAGCAACGGTCTGCTCTCCTTAGCAACAGCTTGTCAGCGAGATTTAACAACCACTGGAATGTCTAAACTGACCAATCAGAATCCAGTATTCAACTAAAGATGTCAGATAAATTTTGCGGAGTGAAAAGTACAATAATGACTGACAAAATATTAAAATAGTTTAAGTAACATTAAATAAGAATAAAGTACCTCAGAATTGTACTTAAATACTTGAATCAATGTACTTCATTATGGTTTCATTATTTACTTTATTATAGCATTGATTTGACTTCTTAATGGTTATTTCATTTTTCTTTTTGTTCTGCAACAAGGGGCAGGTAAAATAAGATGTTCTTCTCCCTGCTCCTTTCCACCATGCGCTTTCAAATGTTTTTTTTTAAAACAGTATAAGTGAACATGTTTTGTTTTAAAATAACTGCCATGTGTGGAATAAACAAATAAATAAAAAATATTCTACAGGGAGATATAAGAAATTAAACAATCATAGTCAGGTTAGGGATCCTCCTTGTGCCAAAATATAGTGGATTAGAAGTTTAAAGTAGCATTAAATAAGAATAAAGCACCTCATAAATGTACTTAATAGTACATATACTTCAATACAGTCGCTCACAGCAGGGAGATATACTAATAAATAAACATTCAATAGTCGGGTGAGCGATCCTCGTTGTTTTCCTGGTGACTAATCCTCCGTCTGTTGGGCATATGGCTCCATCAGCTGAGAGCAGGTGTGCTGCACCTGTCATCCATCACAGAGTGTCAGCCAGACACAAACGTGTCAATTTTCTGTTTATTTATGAGCAACAACATGTCAGATAATGCTTCGTCGTTAAAGCATGAAATACAGGTCCAAAAATTAAATCTGACAGCTGGAGAGATTCACGCATTCAAAACTCTTAAGATCTTAATTTTATTTTCCAGAAAGTGTTTATTAGTTTTATACAAAATGATCCAAAAAGGCAAACATTTTTTTGGAGTAATTATTGATTCCAAAATCGGGAAATGTTTTGTTACATTAGCATGTAAACAAGGTATTGCAAATGAGTTAAAAATATAATAAAAGAAACAGTAAAACCAAACAAAAGAACAGTAGAAATATATATTTTTATTACTAAAGAAAACACAAAATGAAATATACAGAAGAAGGGATAAAACGCTAGATATAGACCGACCTACGAGTGAGTTAATTCAGGCTGCATTTAGAAATCAGCAGACTCTAACTCAGCGTTTTGAGTCGTGCATAAATCTTTGTTTTAGTTTGTACCGGCCTCTGTCACGCCTCCATCTGCGCTCCTGCAGAAAACCCCTCCTCAGCATCCTCATTATGTCCCAAAGAGAGAGGTCGTGTCCTATTTCAAGATGTTCCAACACCAAACACTGTGTGAGGTGTTTATTTAGCTAGTCCATTTGTAATGTAGAAACTCAGCTCAAACCTTACATGGTGTATCATTAACAACACAGAAGATGAATTACTTACTTATTATGACTTTGTTGAATTTACTTAATTTTATTTAGGTAAAATATTGCCCAAAACATTTGTATGTACTATTATTATGTATTTAAAGTAATTCTGTTTTATTCAATAAATAATGTAAGCTCAACTAATTTGAGAACTGTACTTTTAAAAATAATTCTAGTTTTATATTTAGTTCTAACTAACCCATATCAATTCAGATTAACTATTTGAGTTCACTGTAATTGTAATTAATACAAAAACTAACCCATGTTCAGTCTACTTAAAGGTGGGGTAGGTAAGTTTGAGAAACCGGCTCGAGATAGACTTTTTGTTATATTCCATGGAATGCTCTTAACATCCCGATAGCAATGAATATCTGAAGTGCTTTGACAAAAAATACATAAATAAATATCATCTGTGGAAGCCGTGGTGCTGTAGAAAGCACGACCAATCATCTGAGCCGGCCCGGCTAAAATAACTGGATGGCCTACCTGCCTGTCAGCCTTCCATCTGTGCACAAACTTATCTCATGCCCTCATTGGTCATGTGCGCGTTCGTTGGAGGAGGAGCTCTGGAAGGAAGTATGTATTTTCAAATTCTAGCGCACTCGAGCTGGTTTCTCCAAAATCACCTACCCCACCTTTAATTGAATAATGGTTACTTTTCTACATAAACAGATTAACTTGCATTTCAATAAGCAATATTAACCATTATCAACATCTTAACTTTCAATACAGTCAAATAAAGCAAACTAAATAATGTTGAAAAAAACTTTCTAGCAAGAGGCCCTTAAAAAACGACATTTGTAATTACTTTTATTATACAATACGATCCTAGAGGAGCATCGTGACAGTCAGTTATTAATATGTCAGAAAGCTTTTCCCTCTCACTGTTCATATTTCTCATCTCATTGTCTTTGTTTTTGTTTTTATTGTTTTTCCCATCATCTGTTCTGTAATCCATTGGACTTCTCAGAATATTCTTTCACAAGTAAGTTTCATTTCTTCCTGTCTTCTCCCCTCACATTTCCCATCTTCACTGCATTTATCCCCTCGACTGTTCCCTCTATATTAGAACATTCGCTTTAATCATTAAAGAATAGCAATTGTTTCCTGTTGTACTAATTTTCCAGACGGCAATCCGTTCCATTACTTTAACGCAGTCACAGGTTTGTTTAGTAATGAGATAGATATGACAGTCTGTAGTCAGTGTGTTCTTTGAACCCTTTAGACTTCATTGAAACCCTTTCTTGCTCGTAGTGAGTTTTCTTTGCTGTGTCCCAGTAGTTCAGCCGATGTGTGTTTTTTCAGATGGTTATATCCTGGCTTCAGACACCACTACGAGGTCGTGGTAATTAACGTGGAATTAGCATATTTCCTGGTGGTAATGTTGAAAGCAGGGCACATAAAACGGCCCTCTTTGGAAACATCAGGTTTAAATATGCAGGCCCAGAAAGTCTTTAGGATCTGAGCTCATGCTGTGCTTTTATTTTGTAATTTGGCCGTTAGACTTGTATGTGTATTAAGAAAAACTCATATTACTTCTGTTGAGCTGCAGCTTTCTTTAGACACATGCTTACTGCTGCATTTTACATTTTAGACCAAATAGTTATGCATTTTTTACACATTACCTTTGGCATTATGTTGGTTTCAGGAGATAATGGCGTGTTGTTGTTCGTGCTATGCCTCAGAAGAACGTAAGCTAGACTTAGAAGAGTTTTAATTGCTCCAAGGGTACCAAAACAAAAAGCTCTGCAAAATAGTTTGCTTTGAGAAGTTCTGTTGATGCTTACAGGTATTATTTTCGGGGAGATTTGATTACATCCCCCCTATCTTTAATATTAAGAAATAAAGGAATCCACTTCCTGTTCTGAGGCCAGTTCTTTCATGGAGAAAACTGGGTTATGGCTAGAAAGGATCCGTCTTGTGTAAATATGAAGTCACGTTCTCGTTGTAACTCTCGTTGTAATCGGAGCGGCTCGGAAACACATCTACAGCAGTAACATGATGCAACATACACATTAATGCAGCAGCAATATTAATAGAGAAACATCAGACATAATAGTAAAACACTGCAAGGGAACATTTTATTGCACCAGGAGCTATCTTGGGACTTTTACTGCGATAAAGTTGACTTGCCTGTGAATAAAAAATAAACCATAGTGTTGGTGATCTACAGTGCTGTCATTATTCTTTGAACACCAACAAGACCGCTAACACCCTATTTCAACAATCACACTCCCTGTCATTGACATAATTAATAGATAGTTTAGCTTCTCACCATCAGTTGCTGTGGCCCACTGATGTTAACGAACTGAAAGGCTGCCGGTGTCGGTACCAGATGTATTCGGGGTACCATATGTGTTCGGGGGCCGTCTCTTACCAATGACGTCATGCATTGTACGCATTGTGATTGGCTGTACGGTAATTTACCCAGGGGTGCTCGGGGGCAAATCACATCTACAGATCATGACGAACCGAATTGAATTATTCCT